TGTTTGTGACCATGCTCTTCAAAAATAAGTGATAATAGGCATGTAGAGGAAGTGGCCGATGACAGTCATACTTCATCGTTTACTATGGAGGCAGTGTTCACTCTAATGCCAACTGATAGCTATCAACGGGCCACCGCAAGTTTGTCCAGCACAGTAGCGTATCCGGCTCTGCGCAACTCATTTGGAATAAAACATACGGTTCCCGAATTATTAGATCATCTGTCACAACGAAACAGCACTATCCCTGAATGATAACGAAAAACTAGTCCATGGCAGCCTGTTTGATGAGATGATGGATATCTTCTTCAAAAATGCATTCATAAAAGTTATCATCATGTGTAAATGCCATCACAACGATTAATTCATTCACTGTCAAGTGTTTCACGTCATTCGAATGACATGAGATAAACAGAACTCTACTGCCCAAACTCGCTAGCATACAAGCCTATCAAAAGTATACGGTTCCGAGAAGAACTCCCTCAAACAGCGACTATCCATAACGATAGGAAACGATATAATCACCATCTGAGTTAACTTGAAGATTCTAAACTTACTTGAATCAATTTGGAGCAAACGGTACTCATATAACACTAGATTCCAACACACACCGCATGAACTTGTGACAGAGACAGAAAGCCGCATAAATAGTGCACTCCTTGGTGTGAAAATGTTGCGAATCAATTACAAATCAGACGACCGTCCGACCACGCCCAAATTGAAACTATATCACCAAATCGCTGTCTCATTCATCCGTACAGAACACGTGGAATGGTTCTCGAGCGTAAATCTAATGGTCTGTGAGCTTAGATAAATGGGTACGGAATCCTCATTAGGATCAAATTGTAGTAAGTCAGTGATTCTTAACCTGGGCCAGCAATGACCTACAGACATTCTTCATGGGGGTAGCATGTGCCCGGTACTAAAAACGCATTTTCTTCGTTTGCGCTCAGTTCGAGTCGGCTACATTTGCTCTTCGTGACCGATGGCAAGTCCTACCTCATCCAGAATGCTGACCGTACGGTATCGTTCATCTTTGTGCCCCCTTCATCAATAACGTTTCAATAGAACAGCACAAGTCGCTTGACACAAGTAAACAAGATTCAGAATTTTAGCGTAGGAGTAAGGCTACTCTACATGGAGTTATTATCGTATCAGCGATCACATAGCCCTGGACGTCACTGACCAAGATGAAGCCCTAGTTCCACGTTCCACCTGACCAAACTTTGATTCGATATAATCAAGGATGAACATAGTTTCACCAAGTGAATTCTGGCATGTAGAAATCCAAAATTTACCGAGCAACAAGTAAGCTAAGATATCTGGCCAGAAGTTTCTAGATTATCTGACGGAAGTCTCAAATTGCTCCGACTGAGCCAAAAAGACGTTGGTTTCCGAGCTTTGTCAAAGGCTAAGAATTCAAATCCAGAATATAAACTTCCCTAAGACAGATACGAATTCGAATCTGTGTTTGAAATATCATTGGGACAACTCGAGTTTCCTATCTGGTAACCGTAATAGTCTATAGAGTAACATCAGAATATAATGGGGTCTCTCCATCTGTAAAATGTAAATGTAAATCTGTAATGTAAATGTAATGAAGTTCAACAAGCGTTGATATTGTGGAAATCAAGTAAGGCACCAATAGAGTCACATTAGACAGCCGAATTGTTTTTATCTGATGCTGACAGAGCTTGCAGATAGTAAAGTCTACAGCTGAAGGAATTCGGTCTTAGCATAGAAGAGATGTTTCAGTACATCTGCAAACAGTATGGCCTGCGCTAATTTACCCTCCTCACAGTGCAAAAAACTGGCTGGACATGATGGCGCAGAACTCTCCGACACCATAAATTATTCTAGTTTATATTCTATTCAGGGCTTCACATGCAATAGAATATCTGAAAAACTTCCCGCACTACTTCTTCCTCAAGCGAACTATTTGGGGCGCCAAAAATGTTTCCTCGACGGGGTGTTTTCTTTTGAAAGTTTCGAATGGGGGTTACACAGTTTCCTTTGTATCCGGACGCAGTAAACCGCCTGCATTTTCCCTGAAGTGAATGCTACAGACATTTAGAAAACTAGCATATTCATGACTTACATATTAACACCAGGCGGTGGACCTCCATGATGGTTGTCTTAAAACTCTCGTAGTTTTGACGAGAGCGTGGAGTGACAAAGGTTGGATATGTACTACATTGACTATGAGGTCTCAAAGCCGTTCATCTTCATCACTGACGTGTTGCATATGTTAGTTCTGTGTCAGAAAACTGTGTTTTGTTTCATGTAGACGAACTCAAACAAGCAACATTTACTCTCATACTTCGCGGTCGACAATGGCACTTGTTGCGACGTGTAAATGGTAAACAGGGCTTCTGTTGTGTGGAGGTTGGAAAAAGCCGCCTAACGTGTCTTTTCTTTGATGCTGAGTGATATATTTCCTGAAAGGGCTGCAGCCACCCCTACAAAATCGATGGGTTTTAAAAGCTGAAAGGTTATTTCGAGGACACGGAGGTTTTGGTTGTGGCTATAACTGGTCTAATAAGCTCTTTAGCGCTTCCTCGGATCGCAATACGGATGAATCTCATCCGAAGATCCCTGGGCGCACTTATACGTACTGCTGAATCTGAGTACAATGGAGGGGCGTTAGGTCAAAACTCAGGCGTGCAAAATAACACTTGATGACAGAGAGGCACTATTTGCACAAACAGCTTAAGTTGTTTTACATCTGATATGTGTCTATTCACTCCTGAACAAAACGAATGTAATGAAAATACCTAATTCTTGATTACATTCCTTGTGATTGACAACCAGAAGCAAATGTCTAGATGGGGAATTCTAGGATCTAAGGTCCCTGTCAAACTGGTTGACCAACCAATTACGACGTTTTTGACCATACTTTTATACCATTGAATAGTTCAAGCATTTAGTCAGAGCTGTCCCATTGGAATAAATGATGCTAAGCCCCAATCCTCCGAGCGATAAGAATACAATTCCATCGTAGATGGTCATAGTGTGGTGCATTCTTCACAAACAGATTTAAAGCCTGGACGCGGAGGATACACGCATAAGATGTTCGGTCGGTAATTTCAGGACAAACCAATGAAGAAAGTGACAAAATTTCCAGTGGATTCAAGGTCCAGTTTGGGAGACACTGTAATTCAAAAAGGGACTTTAGTTAGAAGAGGTGGTTTAGGGTTTTTACATGAAACGTGAAAAACCACGTGTCATCATCATCATTGTCAGCTGTAATAACCGAGCTGCGCATGGCAGGCGGGAGCTGATAAAACCACTTGCTTCCGATATTGTAACAGTTTTGGAAAAACTTGATCAGTAATCAAATAAATGAATATATTTCGCGGAAAACTGGGACATGTTGTCCGAAAGAATGCCACTGCGAGTTCATGGTTTTATGATAAAACAATCTTTGAACACAATCAGGGCATTTCAAATTTTGTGTACAAAAACTTTGGAACTGTGTCTTCCTTAGGACACCGTTAGTGGCAGATGCAAACATCTGAAGCGAGAATCATTATTTTCACCGCGTAATTCCTTGTTCATTTCTTCAGAACACATCAAGTGACAACTGAGTCTTCTGAATCGCAGCTTACGTAGTCCAAACCGAGACTGATTGATGAATATGTTTTCATTGTACCCTGAGTATCGACACTGTGACTGGTCTCTGTTGATTGCTTGCTTTTTCTCTTTTTGGTTCTTTTACGGGTCTCCCCCATCAACTTGTTTAGTTGATGAGTGTGGCTATCGGGGAGACTATCACAAATCTTCAACGTGGTCAATTCGGACCTACCTCGACCAAACTTGGAAACAGTTTGCATTAATTTTATTTGCCCAATAATTAATTTGCTTCGTGGAAGTCTGTGTAAACGTACTAGGGCGCCCGAATTAGGTGGTTTTTTGACCAAGCTAGGCCGACTAAATATGGTCAGGAGCTTGCCATCCGCTGAGAATTCATACCCGAATCTGACAAGATCATGACTGCGAATGACCTGCTGAAATCCGAATCGCTCGCAAAACTGAATCACTGCTGGCTCTGGGTATAGATATCCTAAACCAGCTGGGTTAGGTATCCACGAAAAGCTACCCAAAGTTGGTTCGGACCATGTGAATTCGGTGAGAATTCGATTATTTATCGACGAAACCGGTCTTGTGACTTGTAAATTGATGAAATTTTTTAAATCAGTCAGGTTGGACACTGTATCCATTGGAATATCTTTTAGAATGCCACTGTGCGTGCAGAACACAGCCTTATCAATTATGGCGACGGCGGGCAAACATTCGAAAGCTTTAATGATTTCCTTCCAAGCTCCCACAAAATGTCTCTGCCAGCATTCCCAAAGTAGTCCATAGTAGGTAGACACATACTTGCACTCGTGATTGCCCCGTATCAGATACACGTTGTATGGGTACAACAACTTATAAACGAACAATAAGCTGATGAGTTCTACAGATTGCCCACCACGATCAACAAAATTGCCCAGGAAAAGGTAGCGTCGCTTTGCAGGGCTACCTAGCTGTTCGAAAATTTCCACAAGGTTATCGTGTTTACCAAACAGATCCCCAACGATTAGCAGTGGTCTGTGTAGGTTTATTTCTAGGCATACGGGTTCGTTAGCGAAAATTTCCGCACATTGGGTTGCCAAGCTCATTACCTCATCTTCACTTATATACGCCCCTCGTCCCCGTCTAACACAGCTTTCTGTCAACCGTTCGATCAAGGATTGCAACCTTCGAGGGGTGAATACAGTCGATTGCTGGGGTTCCATCTGTGGTCCGTCTGGTTGCTTCTTTGCACTGTTTCCGACGAATGGTGCTTGAAGGAACTTCATATCACTGGCTCACTGACCGTCGACGAGCTGAGGCAGTCCGGTTTGGTAAATTGTGAGTGCACGTGACATTACACAGTGCATCGATTGCAGTGCGCAATCGATCCACCTGTGTGGCTCGGATAATGTTGTACTGGTGGTCACATGCAGCGCGGCCTGCCACCTTCGTTTAGCATCCAAAACGGCTAATTTTCAAGTAGTTCAGATTAAGGTTTTCCCAAAATAGCACTGGGGTACGCGGAATTTCGAAACATCAGAAATCAGAATCATGGTTCGAAAACCGAGTTTAAAAAATTGTCACAGAGAAAAAGGGGTTCGGATCAACTGAAAGCCTCATCGAGCTACAATATAAAGACATCAGACACACACTCTACTAATACGATAGGCAAAGAGTAAATTTCAAGGTGCGACTAGTGCAGGAAAATGCACAAAATCCTAAACTGTTTTAGTTACGTTCATTCGTATTGGACCCTGGCAAAACACCATCATCATCATCATCATCATCATCATCATCATCATCAAAGACAGTAACATCAGTATTGATAGTGATGCTTCACCACAGTACAAAGATAAGATTCATCTAATCATATTTAAAGACCCAGAATGAAAAGAAGAGAAAAAGAGTGGGTAAGGGAGGGGTGCTGGCCTATGTTAAGCTTCCTGAGGTAACTATTCCTTCAAACACTGGGAAGGAACTGACAGCACGAAATACCACTGACGTCGATTAGCCACCATTTCTTGCAATATCTCCAGCCAAGCACAGTTGGAGTCACTAGTACCCGATCCTGGGATGGCGTACAACACCACCAACGCCCAAAGTCTTCGTGATCTCTTTTACGCCCTTCTGCCAAGTCATGCCTTTTCCACCTCGTGGAGTGCTCCATTCTGAAGGAGGCACGAAAAACAACAGTCGTTTTGGTAGACGGTGTTTCGGCATCTGTATCACATGACAAAACACACCAGGAGGCTATTGAGGACTGAACCATTGAAGGTCACTTATGATGAACTTCGTGTGCAGGGACAGTTTATATTTTATTGTATTCTCTATGCTGGAACGTCCTTTGAGAACCATCTTAGGGGGTACAAAAGTAGCGATGAGCTGGAACAGTCCATTCCGAAACTTTCAAAGACCAATAACCTGCTCCCGAGCTTGATGCAAACCCGTGCTGGTTAGTTGAAGAGCTATCTCTCTATTAGGTGAAACTGTTCCTTTGGAGTGGAAAATAGCCGCAGTTGCTCGTGAACAGAATGGAATCATCTCCTACGGAGCTAGCGGTCTGTTGGCCTAACCAGTGTACGGGTAGGAATCTTGGAAGGGATAATAAGGAAGAAAATATGTGAATATATACCGAAAACGAGCTTTTAGATGAGTTGTCGCAAGCGTTCTCGCCTCGAACGGAATTGCAGAGCTAAGAACGCACAGGCTTCGCAGCATATCTAGAAAATGGTCATCGGCCCACTTACTCCTGTTGTGTGTCCGTGAAATGGCCACTTGCGTGAGTGACCTGGTTGAGATACTCCCGAAAGACCGGGTTCTCAGCGCTAATCTGTCTGATGAGCTTCTCACTTCAGTGATTTTTTCAGGACAACTGCACGCTTATCCTTCTTGTTTACAACTTTTTGGGAATTTACCAGCCGTTTTCTTAAAATGTGAGGTTTATCATTGAGTTGGTTAAAGGACGCAGCCCCAAGATGACACTTTTCGGCAGTGGTTCGGGTAATGGGACTTAACACTGGGTGCATTAATGTATTCATTCCCATCCGAGCAGGAGCTCTGAACAAGACTCCTACATCAAAAACGATACGCGCAACTGCAAAACACGAACTGCCGCTACCTTTCATACCTTGTCTTCTTCAAACCACGCCAGAAGACTGCATGCAGGTAAGATGACCCCACTTAGGAACAGATGTTGCTCCATTGGAACCAGCACAAAGCATGGCTACCAAATGGGCAAACCAACTACGATGATTCACCTGTACACAGCGACGGAGATGCTTAAACGCCTCTGAGGCGATGCCATTGAGTTTGGTAAACTGTCAGATAGGGCGGAGACGATATCTCAGGGGGATATCTGAATGCAAGGGCAGCCGAGAGCTGAAAGTATATGAAGAAATATTTATGAAGATATAAGAAAGCGGTTCTTTCCCCATCAATAGGTCAACCTTTGCAGACGCAATACAGACGCCTTCACCCGCTGTTTTCAAGCGAGATCCTGTTCCAGTTTTCGTCAGTTGCGTACATGGCTTCTGTGTCCCTCAAGCCTAAATCTACTTCCAGTCAGAAACATTACCAAGGCATTGCCAAAACAGTTTACCTTGAATATACAGGAATTGTACTCAGAGAATCTCGTGGATGACGACAACAACACCAACACAGTGTTGATAAAGCTAATGGTCCGACATCTTTTTAAATTTCATTAGTTTCCATTCCTCCGCTAAATAGGGGGATTCTGATAGTTTTGAAGGAACAAAAAATTTTGACAGTACTACTTATAGGACACAAAGCCCCGTGTAAGTTTGTGCATCGAATTCAGTCAAACAGTGGTTTTGGAATTTCGAGGATTAGATCTTACTCTATTTGAAGAACCCAAGAATTAGCTGAGACTCCGTTTTACTGGAAGGTCCCAAAATATCGCAAGCTACCAACCCAATGGCTACTTTGTTCTCGTCTCTCCAGGCGTACCTCGCACTACCAAATTCTTGTTTTTTCTTGCGGTGGCACGCTGTTCTGCATTTTCTAACAGCAATTTATGCAGTCGCTGAAGAGTCACTGTCTGTTCGCTTCAATTATTATCACAGGGTGAAAAATTTGGCCACGACCGTGAACGGCACAATACGCGGAGAATTGTCACATTGACCACGCCGTCAATTAGTGAATCAGCTTCAGTCTTAGGTCTAGTGGACTTCAAGGCCACATCGCAGACATTGTTCAAAAAGTCTACTGGCTTCCCCAAGAACCGTATCCCGGTTGAAACTTGGCCGCACAATGGCAAAAATGCTTTCTGGCTTGGAAAATTCCTCACAACTAGTCATTCTTCAAACGTTTCATAGCCGGTGCCTTTCTGGAACGGTAGAAGTTAACCGGCAGTAGCATGTCTGCGATGAAGTGTTGCTTAACAGTGTACTGGTTGGTTAACCAAAACTAATTGAGCAGATTTTTAGTTTATTGTGTTTACGGCGTTCATTACTCATGTCCATCAATTACATACCAAAGGATGCTCCGCTTTTTGTTGGGAAAACTGGTCAGTGAAATTTCATGCCAAAAAGACTATGACATGGCTACAAGAAACGAAGCTCATGGCTGTTAAAAATTGTTGTGTGTGGAAAAGTATCAAACTCTTATGGAGCTTCGATGCGTGCATTGACCGGTGATCAGACAGCAGTTTGACCAGTTGGCGAACCTTGGTAAATGACTCACAGACCTCGTTACCGTACAGAGAGGTATCGTCAGTCAGCAGCTGAGCAAGTATTTCTTTCACCTCTGTTTGTTTTTGTATGGCTTCTCAAGAATACTGAACATCGTCAACATGGCTGATTTATGGATGACATTACACCAAGCTGATTTGTCTACTTGAAATTTGTGTTGGGTTGTGGCCTGATTACATTTCCTTTCTGATGGTTCATTAAATACCCTTATTGAAGCAGCTTTATCCACTTTCTTTTCTAACAGCCGCTTTTTTTCTTGTGTGGTGCGCTGGAGGCTTCTTTATCAACACTGTTCTTCCTTTGGCTTGATTGGTCCACTTACATGGCCTTTGCCGGTTTCCATCATATTTGTTGCCTTGTCTTTTCTTGATGTTAATTGGCTCATGTCTTGCTTGGTTCCCCCTGCTAACGGTCTTGACCTAATGCCTTGAGTTTGGCTAGCTCTTATCGCCTAGTGGTTGATCTTCTGTTTTTGTATAGCTTTGAGCTCCATGATTCTATTACCTCCATTGTAACGAATTGCTAGATTGGGTCGATCTCACAATGCTTACTGGTAACCTTCTCAGTTGTGTCCAAAACCTGCGTAACTTTACGCCTCTTTTTTGTTGTGTGGGCTTGCGTCCAGTTAGATTCGTGTCTCTCCCAGTTCTCGTGTACGTATACGAGTAAAAATTATTCGTGCATTCATCGGCAGGGTGGAGTTATTGCAGTCCGTTGGATAGGTTTCCTCTTGATCATCCAACGTAGTAGTGATGTTTGTCGCGCTGAATTTTGCTTGGTCAGTTCGTTTTCTTCACTGTCACCAGTTATGCCTTTGGTTTGTATAGTGCTCTTCAAAGTGTACTTTTGAGTTTGTGAGCCTAACATTCTTGCAGACAATTCATAAATATTCTTGATTTATGGGATTGCCATTTCCATTGAGTTGTCGAGTTTGTCAAGCTCCGAAAAATATTTGTTGAACATTTAATTTCTTGGGTGATTTTGTGTAGACGATGAGAACAGTTTCACTTGGCCCTGAATTCTGTGGTGTAGCAGTGTAATCCAATAAGCATGAACGCAGTTTCTTACTGGATGGTTAGTAATAAACATGCAAGTTACTAAAAGACTTGATTCACTCGAACCATCAAACATCGGATGAAATTCTGTAGTAGACGTTTATACAACTATTATTCATATTCGACTAGGGGATAAGAAGAGTTATGAGCGTTAGGAAAGAACTTAACTTTGTTACGGTAATTTCACACATGTCAATTGTCGAAGTCAACATTTTGGAAGTAAACAGAGGATAAGACACAATAGACTACTCATAGGGTTTGTGAAAAATCTTCGGCAGCCCAAGTTTTCTGCAGTTCCAGGCAAAGGGTTTATTGGTTTCTGTCCGAGATCTACGCAGCTGCTAAGTTTTCATTGCTCTTACTATATATCATGTGAGTCATGGATTTTCTTCGAGGATAAAGCAGCTCCTTTGGGGAACAAAATCATGGGCAGCCAATGGAGCTGGGTTTAGTGCTGAATAGAAAGGAAGCCTTGCAGAAACCTGGTGCAGAATGCTTGGTGTAAACTCTTATGGGGAGTGTCTTCTTTTTGAGAATATTTTTCATGCGTGGATTACTGTATGTTGTTTTGTTTCAAGTGGGCAGTACAGTCTGTACTCTTATTCAGGTAGCGCTAGATAAAAATTATTTGATGGAGCACGAACACATGGGGCTGCCCCATCAAAGATCAGATGGGTGGAAAAACTTTATGAAAAGGTTCATGTAGGCATTCACGAAAATGGCAAATGATGACTGGTCTGATTAAAGGAGCTCAGTGATGCACCGTTTCAGGAGGATGCTGACCACTATTTTGTGTGTTTGTCTTTGTGCGAATAGGGCAAATGATAAATTTGGAACCCTTCGCGCGATTCGGTCTTTGGAATGTTAAATATTCACAAGTTACCACTTGAGGTTTCTTCCAGTAAATGAAGCTAGTCATGCTGAAAAACCGATAAACACTATACACCTATTTCATCTTTAGCTGGACTACTCTACAGTGTGTATCTCCCAAAACTCCAAGGAGTCTCGAACCCGTGACCTTCTGGCCAGTAATTTGAACATTTAACCATGCGGCTACAAGCGGATGATCATCAGTGAAATAAGCTACAAATCAACTGCAAAATAGCTTGAAAAGTGGCATTTTTCTTAATTTCTTCTGAAGGGTTCTGTGAATTTCCTTCTTCCAAGAACCCAATTTTTCATGAACATTTCAACTACAAGCTGTTAGTGATTGCACTCTATTTTTTGTAGTTCATTCAGTTGATAGCGAGCTTCCCACAAGATAAGGCAAAGCGACCGAGTACAGCCCCTCAGTAACTGTCCTCGATATCCAGTGAACCGTTCGAAATAAGAGCAACTGCAACTAGACACAAGGTCGGTCACAGCGAAACGGAAAAATTTATGAGCAGGCCTCTGGTAATCATAGGTTACTTAAAAAATTATTGCAGAAGCTCAATGGGCATCATCCCATAGGGGGCATGGGAGAGTATCCGATCTCCCGAAAGGCATCAGATCAAATTGATGAAATGTCAGTAGATTAATTCACACTTTCTTGGAGTATCACGGATATCATCGAGGCCAGAATGTTGAGAGTTGGTGCACTGATTACATAACACATACTGTATCCGTTTTCCATAGACGACCGCAAGCATGAGATATGATGCGTAAGCTATCACTCTTACTGGACATTAAAAATGTACTAGTGGTTAAGACATCCGGTGGTCAATGCGCGCATACCCGATAACAATATCACACATACGAAGACCGCAACTTATAGTTTACACCCTGTTTCGTCTTTCAAAAAAAAACGGATGGTGTAACACGGAAGTGACGGCTGAACACCACTGATACTTGTGTATGGATAGCTATAACACGGCCCCAATTTGCTTGCTGTTCATGGGCTCACAACGTGTGTCAGTTCACTAGACCACAATTCCAACAGCCATTTGGCGAGGTCTTACTTTAGAAGGCGTAATTCCCAGGCTGCTTCCTGGTATGTTGAAGCGTTTGCAGTCCATTTAAATGATATCCCCACTATGTACTCTTATAGTACCATCACTGCATCAGACTACTAAGATCTTCGTCTCTCTAGTCATATTCAACAAGGTCCTGTTGAGAAGCTTAGAATGGCATTTTACTAACAAAACAATATAGGTAGTCTTCGGATGTTTTGACACTGTAGATACTGATAAATAAAAAATATATAAAAAACGGCTAGTTCGTTCGTGTTAATATGAAGCGAAGAAACTGGGAATGGAAAAACTCAACTTCTAGGGGGATACTGTTAACATTGAGAATCTAGAAGCGAAATAATTAGAGTGTAATTTCTCTTTTAGGTTTTTGTATAAATTCGAGTGGGCTATCAATTAATTGGATCATAAAACAGTCACAACACAACGTCTTGAGCAACCGTCTGAGAGAG